CTCAGCTGCGGGGATCCGGATGAGCGCGAGGCGGCAGCCGAGAGAGAGGGCGAGATTTCGTAATTCCTGGAGAGCGCTATCTAGTGGTGGCTTGATCTTTTTACAGCGCAGCTGTGGTAACGGTCGCCTAAGCCAGGGGTCTCCAACCTTGGCAACTTTAAGACTTGTGGACTTCAACTCCCAGAATTCCTCAGCCAGCTTTGCTGGCTGAGGAATTCTAGGAGTTGAAGTCCACAAGTCTTAAAGTTGCCATGGTTGGAGACCCCTGGCCTAGGCATCTCTCAGCATGTAATAATATTAAGACCGATTTTTTTCTCCCCTTTGAGGCACATTTTGAATGAATAGTGCGTTAGCACAGGAAATGCCTGCTCCTATGAATCTGAGCACCGTTATCCAGGTCTCATTTTAGCTGTGTATACTGCGCTCTTAAAATCAAACTGCCCTAGTTTGATGATGCCAGCCAGACAAATCTTATTACATTCTTTGACAAAGTGACAAAATGGACCAGAGAAGAGCTGTGGATATAATATTTACTTGGACTTCAGTAAGGCATTTGATAAAGTAGACCACAACCTACTACTTGATAAGATAGAAAAATGTGGGTTAGATGGCATCACCACCAGATTAATGCTCCAACACTGGAAAATTTGAAGAAGAGATTGGATAACCATTGGTCTGAAATGGTATAGGGTTTCCTGCCTGAGTACGGGGGTTAGATTAGGGCGATCAAGGTCCCTTCCAACTCTGTCATTTGATTCAATTTGATTCTATTCTATTCAGAATAGGCTAAAGCAGTATTTCCTAAAAATTAAGACATGTGGTGTTCAATTCAGAATTCCCAAACAAAGTCGCAGAATTCCTCAGTTAGTAGACACAGTGACCCAATAGAATATTTTGATTTTGCAATTAATTATTTTGGTTACTAATCTCCATGGTTCTCTTCCTCCTCAACTCCTTCTTTGAACTAATCAATTTTCAAAAAATAAAAAATAAAAATAAACAACTCATCATACATAAAACAAAGGGAAAAAGCACTGTAAAACTTTCTCTCTTAACATACCTAAGAATAACCAATAATTATAGTTCTGCTGTGATCAGTTTAGGCTCCTTTCACTGAAAAAGCTTCAAAATGGTTTTACAAATAAACAAACTGCATTTCAAATTTTGAGTCATTCTAGTGTTTCCTGTTTCCTTAGAAGACTAAAAATTAGTATACAATGAAAATAAACATGAAAGAAAAAAATAAAGTTAAAAGACATGTGTTGCTACTTTTGAACAACTTATTTTGGAAGTAGCTAAATCCAGTCTAACAAACAGGATAGTTTATAATCGTCATCTCAGACATTTCACCCACACACCCACACATATAGAGTACATAGTGCTTTCCAGAAATTGGGAGTATACAAATAAATAGTATACGATCTGACCAGGAAATAATGCAAGTAGAATTATCAGTTATTTGCAAAATAGCAAAAATATGGAAAAATATAATTCATAAATTACTTTGGATAAAAACATTTGCAAAAGATACTTGACATGTACAAGCACAAAGGAAGCATCCCATCTGCATCTTTTTTCAGATTATTTATTTAACTTATACGATGCTCAACTTTCAATAAGATCCATTCAACTACTTCCAAAGCTGTTCCTGATCATCTTTGCACCTAACAGTCACTTCAAAATTATTCATTTTCTGAATAGCCTCTTTCAAATGCCTTGCACAAAATTGAAAAAAGTCTTTAACATCAGTTTGGTTCTCTATGGGATATTTTGAAACAGGAAAAAAATTCCTTTTAATTCATATTAAGAGCAATCAAAATTATGCATTAAATTGAAAATAATATCCATGCTATCGGTATGCATTAGGAAGTCACAAGTCGCAGTCATGTGATGTCACGATTGAAGACCTGACTGATTCACTTAGCAACAGCAGCAGAACAGATGGTATAAGTCTGTTATGGTGATGTGGTGTTTCATTGTACAACTGTGTTGCTTAGCACTGGAGATGCTGGTCCCAATTGTGGAGACTAAGACCAGTTTTATAGTCATGTGATCAAAACTCAGGTGCTTGACAACTGGAATGTATTTATGACAGTTGCACTTTCCCATAGACATGGAATCACCATTTGTAACCTTCCCAGCCAGCTTCCGGCAAGCAAAGTCAATGGGAGAAGCCAGATTAACTTAACAACTGCAACGATTTGCTTAACAACTGCAGCAAAAAGGTCATAAAATGGGGCACAACTAACTTAACTGTCTTGCTTAGCTATGGAAATTTGGGGCTCCATTATGATCGTACCTGTGTGGGGAATGCTGCATTTTTACTGCAAAGTCTTTTAACAAAAGGCAAACACGGGGAATCTAGTTCCAATACGGTATTTAGTTATTTATTGGCATGTAGTAGCTGGAATTATAGCATCCTTGCCTTCTAGGTAACAGAATAACAGAATTGGAAGGGACCTTGGAGGTCTTTTAGACCAACCCCTTGCTCAAGAAATCCTATACGTTGTTGTCCAAGTCTTCTTAAAAATCTCCAGTGTTGGAGCACCCACAACTTCTGGAAACAAATCCTTCCATAGATTAATTGGTCTCATTGTCAAGATGTTTTTCCTTAGTTCTAGGTTAGTTCTTTCCTTGATTAGTTTTCATCCACTGCTTCTTGTCCTGCCTTCAGATGCTTTGGAGACTAGGTTGACTTCCTTGTCTTAATGGCAACCCCTTAGATATTGGAACACTGCTATTGTATCACCCCTAGTCCTTTTTTCATTAAACTAAACACAATCTATTCCTGCAACTGTTCTTCCTTTGTTTTAGTCTCCAGCCCCATAATCATCTTTGTTGCTCTTCTCTGGACTCTTTCTTGAAAGTCTCAACATCTTTTTTACATCGTGGTGACCAAAACCGGATGCAATATTTCAAGTGTGGTCTTCCTAAGGCATTATAAAGTGCTACTAACACTTCACATTACACATTAACACTTCACTGCAATAAGTTCACATGGAGCAATAGGATTGTGTTTGTCAGTAGGATTCACTGGGTTAGGGATTTTGTTTTTTGTTTTCAGTAGGAGTTGTATTGTGTTGGGGGGGAGCACCCAAAGGGAGGCTCAGCCAATCTCATTGTACACATGGTGGACAATAAAGGTTTGAATTGAATTGAACATTATTTTGATCTCGGTATGTCAAACATTCAGAGAACGCCTAATTGATTCATCTGGTATGTTCCTCCCCTCTCCCCCCAAAAAGAAAGGAGAAACCATTATTTACATATTCATTTATTTTTTATATACTCTAATCATGTGTGGTGCTATGTATTATATAAAGAAACATCAAATGATTATAAAAATGAAATACGAATAAAACAAACTCATTTTTGAGAGTCTGGAGGCCACATAAGAGCATGGCTCTCTCACATGACTTCCAAAGGGTCCAAAGTTCTGCGAGAGCACATCCTAGTTTTCTGAAATTGCAGTGTTTGCAGAAAATGAGTTCTACCTCAATTGCTGGATCTGGATATTCATAAATGTTTGTAGTAAACACATTTATCTACTTCAGTGGATACCAGCTTACATTATATTATATGACTCCACGCTTATATATCTTTTCCAGAACTACAGCAATACTTTCATATGAGAATAAGGTGTCTACTTAATTTGGCATTTTTGCAGAACACTTGCTAAAAAGCTATAAAATATAAGTACAATAATATTACATATTGAAACATTATTATAGAATGAATCAACCTATACATTATTTCAGTTCCTAAAAAAATAATGCCCAAGGTTAAAGAGATTGTTTGAAATTAAAGATTTTATTTACAATATGATAGCCACAAAACTGCCAGGCTTGATTTTCAATTCAGTACCTCTGGTATGCACAGTGCCAATCATTTCATGATATCACATCCAGGAATAGCTTTGAAGGAAACCCAGAAAACTGTGGTTCTTCAATCTGCCAAAAATATCCCCAAGATTGCATCTTAAAAGGCAGCTTCAGTATCCTTTTATTCCTCTGAATCTTGTTCTGTTATCCAACTTTAAGGGAGAAAAAAATAAATATAAATAAATACTAACTTTTTATTATTTAAAACTTCCTATAACTAGTTTTATTTTAGGAAGCTTATAAGAAAATATGGCAATATTTAGCATATAGTACAGATTGTATTTCCTGGAAAGAAATTTCTTGGAAAGAATTCTAAATAGGTAACTATTTATTTATTTTTTACCAAGTTTAAAACAGTTTAGATTAAAAGTACATTCAACATTTTAAAAAATGCCTACAAAAGCAATATGTTCAGCAGTTATACAATAAGCAGTTAAAGCTATTCAAATTTGAATAGCTTTTTTGGAAAGTCATGCTTGTAATTATCTTCACATCCATGCATAATTAACTGGAACTTCTATGGTATTTTTTTTCAGAATTTTATTTTATAAAATTAGAACACAGTTTGACTTCATGTTCTTAATGAGTGTTGGGATTCATAGGGAGAAACAATATTAAATCTATGTTGTCCAGATTGGCAGGATGTAAAAAATAAATATTACTATCTTGAATCAGTCTTGTAAGCTCAAAAATAAACAAATGCACTTTTTTATGAACCCACTTGATATATTCCCCTTTGCTTTATCTGGGATTTCTAAAACTACTGTTGATTAAGAATGTTATAGTCTGTATATTACATGATTAATAAGCAAATGTAATAGTTACGTTCTCTGCAGCTATTTTTGATGTTATATTGTTTTTAAATTTTGGCTGTTTCATCTTGTATTTATTTTGTTTTAATTGTTAATCGTTCAAAACCATGTATATGAGATAACAATGTAAACTTATTAAATAAATAAAAACTTAGGCTGAAAAACTAAGAAACGTTGCCTGTACTGATGGT